ATCTTCAGATTGAAATTTAAAGTAATAGCAACTACAGATAGGAAAATAGTCAGGTTTATCCAGGGCAAAGTGAAGAATTAGCACTCAACTGTTGAATTACAGCAGGATTGTTATGCAGCCTTTCTTGATAATTAGAACATCCACATCTGCTTTCTCCTTGATGGCTTATATAATGAAGGAGAAAATAGAACAATCTTAGGCGGTTTTTTTGTTTTTTGTTTTTTTACCCTGTAATTATCCATATGAGGTTGGCTGAATAAATATGACCAAGCTCTGCAGCTCATAAAGTGAATATCCTAGCTACATTTGTAACTGGGTCAGATATCTCTGGTCATTAAAAGGTACCATTTATACCCACAATAGACACTTTATTGCCTTTCTAAAATAAGTTTAATTTTTATTCCCTTAGAATAGCATTTAAAACGAAGACCTAGAATAAGAGGACTTGGAATTTTTAAGATGCCTTTGGCCTCTTCTAGGTGATTATAAATGACATCTAAATTTTGCCAAAGTTCCGGACCGCTTTTGGCAACTAGTATACTAAACTGTCAAGACTGGCTACATGACTTGCAGGGCCCTAAGCAAAATAAAAATACAGAGCCCCTTGTTCAAACCTTACTAAGAGTTTTGAGACAGCAGCAGCAGAGCACTAAACCAAATGCAGGGTCCTCGTGAGTGTGGGGCCCTGTGTCACCACCCAGGTCACGTACCCATGAAGCCAGCCCTGCTATTGGAGCCTGCAAGAGCTGCCATAACAAGTACCACAGATTGGGTGGGTTAAGCAATAGGAATTTACTTCTCACAGTTCTGGAGGCTGGAAGTCCAAGATCAAGGTGTTGGTGGGGTTGGTTTCTCCTGAGCCTTCGCACCTTGGCTTGTAGACAGCCACCATCTCACTGTGTTCTTTCCCTGTGTGTCACATCGCCGATGTCTCCCTCTCTTCTTGTAAGGACACCAGTACTATTGGATTTGGGCTCTACCTTCATGGCCTCATTTAAATACATACCTTCTTAAAGGCCCTGTCTCCAAATACAGCCACACTGGGGATTAGGGCTTCGACATACAAATTTTGAGTGGATACTATTTAGTCCATGACACTTGCTACCCACTGAGCTGTTTTTAATAGCCCTAGGTTGAGTGGTTTACCCCAGCGTAGCTGCAGGTGTTTCTTTTGTAACACCAAGCCCAAGTCATTAATGCTTTCTGGGGTTTGAACCAGAGGACCGGGCTGTGTTAGCAAGTGTAGGGCAATTATGCCTGGCACTACCCTCCTGCAAAGCCTATTAGATTGGAGACACTATTGGTAAGCATGGCAGAGTAAGCACGTGTAAGACCATGAGCCTAAAGAAATTTGCTCTTTAAGTCCAATGTCTGCACCAGATGAGCTGATCAGCAACATAGCAGGACCCGCATGAGTGATGTGTTCGCCAGTGTAAAGGAAACTTAGAGGACGTGCCAAAGGAAGAGGCACAGACAAAATGGTTGAGAACGAAGCTGAGCCTGGGCATGCAGAAGGGATTTGGATAGGCTAAGAGGACCAAGGCCTTCGTCAGGAAGGCAGATGGTATGATGAAAAAAACAGCTGATACAGTGAACATGCATTGTGTGTTAAGTGGCAAACACTGTTCTAAAGGCTGTAATATGTTTGGTCATTTAAGCCTCATAAAAAACTCATGAGGAGTAAATACTTTTATTAAAGAAGATGGTGCTTGTGTAGAATAAATAAAACGATAAAGATAAAAGGCCTGGCCCACGGTGGGTGTCCAGTAAATGGGGACATTTAGGCCCGTTGTAACATGGCCAGCCTATGGGACAAGAATCAAGTGTGTTCTCGCAAACCAGCATCGAGGATCCATGGGGCCAGCTGCTTTGCCGGCCTCAGGCTAGATGTACAATGTGTCTCTCTGTTCTTTCCATAGCTGCAATTCTAATTGCAAGGTCGTCGCCTCCCTGGTTTATAGTGGACAGACCTTTTCTATTTTTCATCCGACATAATCCTACAGGTAAGCAATTCTCCTCTTCCATTGTTCACAAACTGTTAGAATTCAGAAAGGTGTGTCGTTGTAGGTAAATCCACAGTGCTACTTTTAGTCTGTTCCCCACGTGGCAACGATCGCAAATGCCTCAAATAATATAACCACTCACCTTGAAAAGAGAGGAAAATCAGGCCGTGTTTACTGAGTGTGTGTGTGTGTGTGTGTGTGTGTATGTGTTTTATACAAATGCAGTAGTTAAATTTTGCAAGAAGCTAGATGTCTTCAACCTTCGTAAGCCCACTATGGTTATGACTTGAGAATTGTCAACTCAATCAATCTTGGCTTTGAGTCATAGATTCAAACATGGCTCTGTCCTTCAGCTTTAACTTTAAGGATAACAGTCATTTCTGCCCCTTAATACAATTTTGAAGAATAAATAAGATTATCTTTGTGGAGAAGTCGGTATCATGTTGAAACAGAGTAGAAACTAATATATTTTAGCTTTTACTTTTTTTTAATCGATAATATAAGCTAGTTCTTTATCCTTTTGTCTCACTGCATCTTTAATATCATAATTAGTGTTCTTCCAAACTGAACAGCCCACTATGGGAGCCTCTAGCCACATGTGGCTATTTCACTTTAGTTTTTAATTAATTTAAATGAAATACAATTAAGAATTTAGTTTCTTAGTCACACTTGCCATATTTCAAGGGCTTACTAGTGACCAGTGGCCACCATCTTGGACCGCAAAGGTGGAAACCATTTTCATCATTGCAGAAAGTTCTATTGCACATCACTGCTTGGGAGTAATAGCTTAAACTCAGCCCAGGGACCGTCCCTTAAATATGCCTTCCCTCTCATTTTAAAGACTGTCTTTAATAGTTATGCATTGTTTTCTTTTATCTCCGTAGGTGCCTTCTTATTCATGGGGCAGATAAACAAACCCTGAAGAGTATGCGGAAGCAAAGCACCAAGCCAACTTTGCTATGAAGGGGAGACTCTGCCTACATCTTTCATAGTTCTGTTAAATATTTTTGCACATTACTTTCTTTTTCAAAATTAGTTCTTAGGAACAGAGACTCGATGATGCAAGCATTTCTATTCTGGGACGTATTAAAGGGGGCAAAAAAGGGCTGGCTGGCTGGAACATTGTACTGAGTAATGGTAGAAAGGCTCCCAAATGTCTAAAAGATTCTTTAAACTACTGAGTATTTACTGTCCAAGTCAGGATGTTTGTTTTGTTTCGTTTATGTGTGGCTTTTCAGAAGAAATTTAATCAGTGCGATGAGGGGGGGAAAGACATTTTATGGTAGCTTTTACTTTTTTATGAAAAAAATATTATTGGCCTTTTTAATTCTTTTTGTTGTTGTTGTCTCATCCAAAGTCTTGATAGTAAGCATTATTTTGGGGGTAGAAATAGAAAAATCTCTAGTCTTGTGTGTTTTTGTTGTTCTTGTTGTCGTCGTTTTATATAATGCATGTATTCACTAAAATAAAGTTTAAAAAACTAATGTCTTGCTAGACAAGGTTTGCTGTTGTGCAGTGTGCCTGTCACTACTGGTCTGTACTCTTTGGATTTGCATTTTTGTATTTTGTACAAAGTAAAAATAAAGTATTATGAGTAGTAAAAGAAAATAAAAGAATCTGTTTCTCTGCTATTTGAAAATACAACAAAAGAAATGAAGCCTTTGGAAAAGACTTCAGCTTCTTCTAATAAACCTTTGCATTCAGGCAATCAGCAGAAAACCCGAAGCCCCTGGCTTTCTCTACCCTTTTTATCTAATCCTGGCCACCAAACGCTGTTCCCTGCTTCACCAATTCTCAGTTTGTAGATCACTTCCGACAAATAACTTTCTCCATAAACCCACCTGCAGTCTCAGCTGCCGTTCACTCACGTGAGGGCCGAGGAGTCTCATCAAAAGCGGAGATTTTGGAGCCAGCTCAGAAAGAAGGGCTGGGGACCAATATAGTTTGGAAATCTAAGTGAATGGTAGATGTGTCATTTATGTTAATAAACTAGAGCGTTTACTTTTTTGAAATGACAAGTCTTGTTTTTTTTGTTTTGTTTTGTTTTGTTTTGTCGTTTTTTTGGAGAACTCCATAATTCTAATGTGATAATTTTTTGTTTGCCTATTTTTTCCCCCCAATGTTGTAAAGATTTTGATAATCTTTCTGTATCAGAATAGTTTAAGATATTTCTTATCCAAAGTTAAAAACATTTTTTTTCACCCATGAACTGTACTCATCACTCTTTATACGTTAAAACCTCACCTTTAACACTCCACCAATTTGCCATTTATAATTCCTTTTTTGTCAAGTGGCCTGAGCTTTGCTGTTTGCAACTATCCGAGTATGGATACTTTGGTTAACCATGAGAAAGGGGAGGAAGGGCTGTTGTTTCCCTCACTTAAGAGTAAATGTCAAAAAATTATTTTGAAGGGTTATCTCAGGCCACTTGTACTCTGACAAACATGCTAGTATAGTTATTAATGCTTTTTAGAGTCAGGTTTACTGGTTTTCCATTTAGTTATATTACTTTGGTCATGTTACTTTGGATAGTTTAAAATAGGAATAGTGTTCGCATTAATCAGAGAGTTATATTACTTTTAGTTATATAGTTATATTGCTTTGGATAGTTTGAAATAGGAATAGTGTTCGCATGAATCAGAGAGTTATACACCCCATTCATTCATTCAAATACCTCCTCTGCACCAAGTACTAGGGATACAGAAATGAATGTATCCTTACCCTAAGTAACCTTGGGAGGGAGAGAATTCTAGCACGTAAAGGTATCTAACGGTTGCAGGTGTGTTTGTTTACAAGTGAGGGAAGTAGGACCCAGTGGGCATTGGTCCAAGAGAGAAGACCGAAAAGTGGCTGCAGGGCCAAGACTAGCTCCTGGGCTCCTGACACCGGCCCTGCTCATTCCAGAAAGGACCAGAAGTGTCTGCCTAAAAGAGTGGCCCCGTTATGCAATACAGATAGGCAGCTCCCCAATAATAGAAATTGGTCACATTTTCCTGGGCACATTACATTGTGAGGTACCTGGTCCCATTTCTGAATGCCTCTTCAGTGTCTTACAGAGTAACATTTCACATTAATGATATACAGAAGCTGGAAACATGTCATGGAAAGATCATACTTTTAAGGTTCCCAGACTGCATAGACTCTTTCACTTGATCCTCCCAACTTACTTTTTTTTTTTAGCTCTTCCCCAGTCAATACCCAGATTCTGACCCTGGCTGACTCTTAAAATCTGTTTATAATCTGGACTGGAGGGAAATTTTTCTCTCAAATTATTCTTCTTTATAATTCGATGTTTATCTTTTGGCACTTTTAAGTCAATGAGTCTGTTGGCCTCGTCTTCAAAATAATAAAATTTATGGAAACTGCTTGAGGAAAGCTGGAATAAATTTAAGATATGGAGATTGCCAGAAAAAATTATAGACCTGTGGTAAAAGGTCATGTTTGCTGTGATATTGTGATTTATAATATGAAATATGTATTTCATCTTGTGGCACAGAGCTCCTAAAACCCTTGGAATGTCCTAAGTGCTGAGAGCTACAGAGGTGTCTTCTGTTATGTTAATGAGTTGACTTTTGGAAAGCTCCAAAGGATGGGGCTGGTTGCCAGAACCAACCATATGATTGGAGAGCTGGAACATTCAGTCCAACAGCCCTGACCTGGTGGGGAGAGGAGAACGTGAAGAGGTGCCGAAGGTTGAATCGATCGCCGATAGCCAATGAGTTCATCCGTTTTGCCCACGTACTGAAGTCTCCATAAAACCCCCAAAGGATGGGGTTCAGAGAGCTTCCGGGTTGGTGAACTTGTGGAGGTGCTGGGAGAGTGGCTGGCACACCAGATGGAGTATGGACACTCTGTGCCTTAACCCCATACCTTGCCCTATGTATCTCTTCCATCTGGTTGTTCCTGAATTATATCCTGTTATAATAAACCAGAAGTCTAGTAAGTAAAATATTTCTCTGAGTTCTATGAGCTGCTCTAGCAAGTTAATCGAACTCAAGGACAGGGTCACGGGAAGCTCTGATTGAGAGCCAGACGATGAGAAGCACAGGTGATAACCTGGGCTTGTGATTGGCAGCTGAAGTAGAGGGTGATCTTATGGACCTGAGCCCTTCACCTGTGGAATCTGATGCCATCTCTAGGTCAAGAGTGTCAGAATTGAGTTGAATTGTAGGACACCCAGCTGGTGTCCAAGAATTGGTGGTGTGCGTTGCGGGGGGAGGGCCACATGTTGGAAATGGGTGTCAGAATCTTTATTTCCTAGGTAGATATTTGAGCAATTTATCATACAGGTTAGAATGCCACATTGAGTTTGGACAGGAGACCGGCTGCAATTTACCTAAAGTAACAAAATGGTAGACCTATGAAAAAACTGAGGCCAACAACCAGTGAGGTCACTCTTGACACTCAATAAAATGAGGACTTTCAATTCTGCCTAAGAGACAACTGAAAAAAAAAAGAGTAGACATTGACCCAAATCAGTTGAAAGCTCTGAGGTCTTTGAGTCCTTGTCCTAAAGGGAGATGATGACAGATGACCTGAGAAAAATGCCAATCGTAAGAGAACTTTATGAAAAGACACAAGGAAGTAGCTTTCGTACCAATAACCCTTTTTCTGAAAATAAAAAACTGAATGACACTTGAGTTCCACATTAAGGGGTCTAAGAAATTGAAGTAGGAAGGGCAGGGATTTGCTCTGAGCCAGCAGGATAGCGAATGCTGATCGGTGGTGACTGCCAGGGGAGAAGTGAGCACTGGGTAAGCTGGCAATGACTTCTATGTCCTCAGCTTCCTGTGAATGCTGAAAGACCCTGTGTTATCAAGAGTCAACTTTGAGTGGCCAAACAATAAAAATCACCACTGGCTCCCAAGCCCCATTTCTTTAGTGATTCTCCAAACTGCCTCATTGGCCCTCTCCCACATCTTGAAGAAAAAAGGATGCATATGCTGTGATTTAAGGGAGAAATTTGCTAAATGAGAGAGCTTGTATATGATACCAGGTATACTGTCAGTGTCTGCAGATGATTGAATAAGCTAATAAAATGGAAGTGAAATTTTCAAATTCTTAGTGTATGTCTCCTCCATTTGAAGTTTATAATCCCAGCTACCAGAGGTAAAGGAGAAGGGTGACAGGCATTGTGTTTTTTCTTCCTAGACAAGAAAATCCCAGGACCGAGAAGTGAGACCTAGTGGCATGCTGTCAGAAGCCCTATGGACATCATTGTCAGGTTAGTTAATCTAAGGACAGTCTGCTGATTGTTGCCTGTATTTTTTTTTTTAACTGTATTGTCTACTGCTAATTATCTCCTGGCCTTTACCGACATGGTGTCTTGCTGTGGAGATGCTGAAATCCATAACTCACGTAGAAGAAGCATCATCAGAAAATCAGGGAATTCTCACATCCTCTGACTAAAAACATCCTTCTCTAGCTGTCAATGACCTTATTACTCATCTCTTCTGTAAAACTCACTAGAACAAACTTATTAGTTCACTTTGCAATTTTTATGAGCAACAGACGTAGTTGAAAGATATTCTGAAAATAATCAAATAATGGAGCTCTTTCTCAAAAAGGGACTAAGGTAATGTTTTTAATTTTCTCAATTGTTTTTCTCTCAGAAATTTTTCTTGGAACTCTCAGTCTTCTGTTAGTGATCGTTAATTAACAGGCAGCCAGATCCAGAAACAAGAGCAAGAGAGTTAGTGAAACGCAGACAGCACCAATGCCAAAACAACTGTTTTTCAGGAGCATGTGTGCTTGTGATTATGATTTTTGATTGCACAAATGTCCTCCTGGAAAAATTCTTAGTTTCCAAGATGGGACTCAATCTGGCAATCATTCTTGGTATACTACAGAGAGAACCATGGCTTTCAAACATTCTGATAGCCTTTACAAAGGTTTGGGAAGACTGCAGAGGTCAGCTGAGAGGAAAATGAAATGTGCTTAAGGATGCAGACGTGGGCAGCGTGACACCAGCTGGGCATTTTAGACGGGGATTCCTCAGCCGAGGGAGGTTGTGAGCTGATCCTCCCCCCACCCCCATGAGAATATTCAAATCTGGTTTTATAAACTGTCAAGATAGACACTAAGATGCCCTTGCCTCTGCAGTGCATTTTCTTCCATCATCAAAAGGTGAAAAGAGTGAGAAGTAGCAAAAAAATCTTTTAAAAGTTTTATCTGTGGAAGCTCCACTATTTTCACTCTAACTATTTTCCCTCTTTCCAGTAAAGATAAAAGAGCTCAAACATTCAGACCTTGGCACCAGAAGTAACTTGTTCATACATGAACTTCTCAACCTTACATGCTGAGGGAAGACAGGTGAGCTGGTTTCTGCAGACATAGTCATAGGATATTAGAGCTGTAAAGGGCCTAGAAAAGGCATGTTTCACTGTAATCACATGCCCTATTCATACATAATCTTTCCTGTATAGGGAGAAAAGGCAGTGTCTCCCACAGACACTTTGCACGCTACTTAACTCTGAAGTGGGACTAGGACACCATCTTGTGGCCAAAATCTATAACATTCTGAACAGAACGAACAGCCCCTATTCCATTCTTACTTGGAAGTTTAATAGTTCACTTTCTCATGACCATATAAAACACTTTGAGAATCATAGTCCCTATTTTATATACACATATAATAAAAACGTAATATTTACTAAAAAGAACAAGGCTTATTTAATTGAATCTGTAGCCATCAATCTTACATCTTGGCCTAAGAACTTTTTTCGTGCCATTGTATTTTGGGCTTAGGGAACTGGAGAGTGGGAAAACGTGAGAAAGGTGTCAGAATTTCAAAGTAAATGACCAATGTCTTTCTCTGGTGCCAATTCAAGTACCAGTGTTTTTACAACTTACCAACTTCTACAGTCGTCAACGACTGTCTTCTCAAAATGAATTATACCTTAGTCGAAAAGCCAGTCCTCCAAATGATCACTGAATGCTCTTGGTTACACACCCCTTGTGACAACATCCTCATAACCTTTATGTTCCTCTTGCCCACACATCAAACTTATGCAGGATTTCTTCTCATAGAGCAGATTAGCTGTCCAGGTTGGTTCCAAGTTTCTAACTATTCATACGGGACTGCAAAAGTATGTTAATTTGTTTTCTGCATCCCAGCCCATCCTATTTTCACAGATGCTCTTAAAAAGTGCAACTTAATTTAGGTTCGATGACTTTACTTAGAAATGTGTTGAAATCACATTCTTTGTAAGGGATTTGGATGTCTTTACTTGCAAAGCTGTGTTTATGAACTGGAGCTGGATCTGTTCCACGTGCACATCTAAAAGCACTCAAGGTTTAGGAGCTTGAAAACCTAAGGCTGAGGACTGTTTCCCTCCAACCTGGTAGGTTAAGGTCCCGCTAACCACCCTAAGCAGGAGAAATTTGGGGTCACGTTATCAGTAATACCAATGGGGGTAGAGATTACTGACTTTGCAACTAAATTCTCTAAAAATCTTTAAAAAACTGCTTACCTAAAATAAAATTCAAATACTCTAGATAGAATCTGACGTTTTCCATATGCCGGATGAGTAAGTGGTTGGAGGACATTTACTGTCTTTTGCTTCCAAGAAACCTTCTGTAATCTCTTTTCTCCTCTGGTGTCAATGAGACGCTTATCAAATGTTTACTTGTTGTGAATGACACACGTAAGTGTGGCGTTCTACTACTGTGTTAAGTCCTCTGTGTCAGGAATTCAAGTTAACTCTCAAAAGAAAGGTGACATCACTTACATTTAACCTACCAATTCAAACAACTATGTAATTCTCAAAACTTCCACTCCAAAAAGTCTCTGCATTAGCTCCGATGGCTGTAAACCTCTTACATATAAGTTCCACTTTCCTACCCAGTCTCAGGAAAGGAGTTTCAAGGGTCTTTCATCTTCCTTTATAAAAAGACTGCACAGCAAAAGTGCTGTCAGTTTAAACATATTACCTTTTCTATTCTAAGCTCTCAATTCCTACTCTTTGTGTTAATTCCTGGAATTGACTACTGGCAGACTGAAACTAAAAATTATTACTGTTGCTGAAAAGTTAAAAATAAATAAATCAAAGGGAATTTGCAGTTGGAGAATTACTGAACTGAACACAAAGGGTTAAAGAACCAGAAGGACAAACTCTCAAGATGTGTTCTCTACTGAATTAAACGTGTTACAGTAACTAAGAACAGTGCTTGCCACAGTGGCTACGATTATGACTGTGGAATATTAAATTGACAAATATATACTTTACTCTTCCATTAGCATCAGCATCAACATTTCAGCTGCTTTTGATTTTCATGTTTTCCTTTAAAAGCCTAAAATGTACCTGTTCTGCCACTTGTTTTATAAAAATTGAATAACTATATAGCTACTATTCAGAATTTTAAACCTAGAAGCAATCTAGAGATCATGTAAATACCTAATTGTTAGAATTTGTACCTTGTACTTCTAAAAGTTAAGAGTTACATAACATTACTATTTTAGCTAAAATTGTATTAGAGAAGCAAAGTTCACCAACCTGGGTACATCAAATTAAACTACAGTGAAACAATTAGAGGAAGTAACTTTTTTACTGGTATTACAGTAAAATATAAATATAAAATATATCTTCAAATTATGATACCTCAAAGTAGAAGGAAATAACATTGTACAAGTTATATACAATAATAAAATCAAGGACTCCAGGAAAAAATTATTGGGAAAACATCAAAAAAGACTTTTTGACAAAACGGAAGTGATTTAAAAAAACAAACACGTGATCTGACAAATACTTGTTTAATTTTAAGAATAAGATATACTTCTCTACAATTTGAAAAATGTCCAGCTTTGAACACCTGTCTCATTGCTATGCTGACAAATTTCAGGTTCCCACATCTTTGGCTGGTTAGCTGGCAGCGATGGTCTTCTCTGACCTTAAATTCTCTTTGGGCTTGGAGTAGTCCCAGGGCCGCCTGTTCTCAGTGAGTCCGTAGAGTTTCCTAAGTGCCACTCGAGCAGCTTCTTCTTCTGCAACCAGTACTGTCTCCCCGGGTCCTTCTGCGATCAACTTTTTCTCACTAGAAAAAAAACCCAACAGTAGCCCAGACTTACACCGTGCATCAGAAAACGCAGTCCACAATCAGTTTTGCCTTGAAAATCTCATTTTGGCATTAACATCCAGCAGAAGTAACAGAAATGTTGTACCATTTTTCTACCAGCAGTAGTGTATGAACTGCCGATAAAGAGTGCGTATAAGGTCTGCCAATCAGATAAGCAAGAGTATTTTATTGTTTTGCTTTGCACTAATTAAAACTAAAGATGAAACTTTACAACACTATTCATTTTCTCCTTTGTGATGTCTTCCATTGCTTTAATACCTATAAAATTTTATATAAAGAGTAGAGAAATATTTACCTAAATTCTTAGTTATCTTAGATAGTCACTGTTTACATTTAACACTTCAATCCAACTGAAATCAATTTGAGGCAGGTCAAATTGCTCTGAATATAAGTTGATTTATACATTTTGCTGGACAACTAAACTCTTTCTTTTCCAGTTCTAGGCTCGGCTAAAGCTGTTACAAGTGTGGATTAGGGTTATATCTGTAAAACTCATGAGTCAAAACTTTTATTTTTCTACAGAAATGTCCATGAAATTCTATAGTGCATAGTTTGGCTATCAAAAGCTACTATTAGCAAATCATAGATTATTTACCTTCCCCTAAGAATGACCAGCAGGAAAGGAAGGAGTAAATAGATCGTCATGGAAACGAGATTTTTAGAAATCTTTTAATCCAAGTAGAAGTTCTCTTAAGAAATTATAAAAAGTCAGTTTTTAAGGCTTCCAATCAATACTATGAAGTTGAGATTAAGGTTTTACTAACCAGTATAAGCCAACGAAATACACAGCCAAAGCTGTGGTGCTTCCAGACTGCCTAGTAAGTCTAGATTCCGGAGCTGAAATATTCCTTTTCTTCAGTTCTTCCACCAGGAGACCCATGGGATTTGCTATCTTCCAAATCTCAAAGAGTTCTTTTCCAGTCATTTGGGTAATTAAGAAGTCCTGCATTAAAAA